AATACAATAATTAAAATTACAAAACTTAAAAAAAATAACAAAAATTCACAAGAGCAATAATGCGCCGTCACGTAAATTTTCATATTAACAATTCTTTACATTTTGCGCATTTGTGCGCAAAAAATATAAATTATTAAACAACAACAACACGCTACTTACTACACACAACGAAGCCAACTAAAAGCTTGCCAGTTTTTTACTACTAATATTATCTATTATAATAAATACAAATTAAACTTGAAACTTTTTGCTGAAATGCTTGCGAATAACGCGCCAAATTAGCAGTAAAAGTAAATTTAAGAAAAAATTATTCTACATGTGTATAGCAATATATAAATATATACAACTACAAAATAGCGCAGTGAGCAACGAATACATTTTGTGATATTTTCAAGCATCCATTCGCTATAACAAATAATTCTTTATGTAGTGCTAAAAAACAGTGTGACAAAAAAGTGCTGAAACTCTTTGGAAAAAAAAAATTATATTGTCCGAACGAAATGTTGGAAAATTAAATTAACTGGTGACTAGATATTGAAATATTATAATCATTAACGGTGAAAACAGAAAAAAAGTTGTGAAAAATTTTGAATAAAGCAACAAGCAGCTGCTAAAATATAAAGAAAAAGTGTGTTTGTAACAAATCTGGTAGAGAAGGGCTTAACGCGCTTGGATTAAGGCAGCCGAACAGCGTAAAAATTAAGGTAGGTGGCATAAAGTTTACCAAAAAGTATTTAACAAGCAGAAAATATTAACAAAAAATATTAAAATAAAGTTATAAAAATAATAAAATACTTTTGCATCAACAAAAATATTAAATATTTTTTCTATAAAATGTCAAAATATATTTCTTTATAATATATAAATTTTTTTATAATAATTAATTTTTTTTAGAAAATATAAATTTTCTGTTTTTTCCAAAAAAAAAACAAAAAAAAAAATTAAAATCTCTTCTCATTAGCTTTGCTCCAGCAACTTTGTTTGCAAATCACGTCGGTCTAAGTCCAGCCGCGTTTTGCCGACGCTAAAACTGTATTTTGCAAAGTAGCTTTCAAAGTGAAGCTGTTAGTTTCAAATATTTTTTGTTGGTAATCAAGCACTTCAAAAAATTATCTATGCTAATCAATGCTAGCTGTTATTGCAGCTTTCTGTTGGGAGCCAATAGAATTAGTCTTTACATTATAAATGTCCAATAGCAGGCTGCAGATGTAGTTGTTCTTGGTTCTGCCTGATGTAGGGGAATATCTCTATGTTTTATTTGTCGTTTGTTATTTTTGGAAACTTTTTTCGTAGAATATATTGAAAATGTATAAATTTTGTTTGAAAATTGTATAAAAATATTGTTTCTTCAAATATGTATATGTGTAAGTTATTAGAATATGTTATGATTATTTTCCAATCCATTACTTTCTCGTCTTTTTCTTTTGTTGATAGAAAATTTTTCCATAAAAATCTGAAATGCATTGAAGCAGTAGCGTTTTATGATAATAAAAACGTTCTAAATATTTTCTCAAGATCGCTAGTATGATATTAAAATACTAACAGCGTTAAATTAATTCAAAAATATGAATTCACTTAGTTATTTATAGTGTGTAAGCTACCTTTTGTGGGCTTTGTTAAGGTTATGTTATGTCACGCTTGAGTAAATCTAATCAGTAATGCAAATTATTCGAATATATTTGGTGCTTTAATGAAATTGATTAAAAAACTTTGAATCATTGCAACATCTTCACGCTAAAATCTGCTCTGCACAAGGTCTGTTATGGTTATGTTAGGTGACTGTTGAGAAATTATACGTGGATATATAAATTAAATGAATAAACGTATTTCAAAATAGTTAAAAAGTTGCAAACCAATCAAACATTTTCAGCCTGGAAGCGGCTTTGTATAAGTGCTGTTAAGAATATGTTAAGTTGCGCTTGTGTAATTTTACTCAGTAGTGATCTAAAAATGTGATACATAAAAGTCGATTATAATCAAAGCTGTATATCAAATGCGTAAAAAAATTCAAACCGCTATATAATTTTCAAGGCAAAGCCTGTTTTATATAACTTATGTTAAGGTTATATTAGATAAGTGTTTAGCGAATATCACTCCAATACATTAAAAAATGAGTTCATTTTATGCTTTATGTCAATTTGGTTCAAAAACCTCAAGAATTTTCAGCCTAATAGCTGCTCTGATAAGCGATGTTAAGGTTATGTTAGACCACTGTAGAAAAAAATCACGATTATTTTTGTAACTTAGTGGTTTAATATCTAATGTAATAATTATTTGTAAACATCAAATTATATGGAGTCTGTAATTTTCACTCAATGCGTACTGTTAAGTTGCTGTCAAGCGTCTGCTACGGTATCTCTTATATTTACAATGAATTTATTCGATATTTTAAGCACCTCAATCAATATTACAACAATATACAACTCAATTAATCTGAATTAAATGATATTGTATTAATAATTGTATTAATCAAGCGCTTCTGTCATTAACAGTTGCTTAACAGCGAAACTTTTAATTCATGCTTTCGTCTTGTTTACTTGTAAAAGCCTAGCAAATTCTTGTGTAATTACTAAATACAATCTTTTCTTTTATTCCTCTTGCTTTCTAATATAACTAATTACATATCTATGTATGTTTATGGGTATGTGTGTTTAAGTGTATAAGCCATAAAGTTCTTCATCTATTTGAAAGCAGCAGAATGTTAATTAGTGATGGGCGGCTTCTTTCTATCTTTCTTTATTTTAAATTCGATTGGCTAGTCGCGCATTGCTTTCAAACGAACACAAGTGTACTCGACATACATATGTATATGCATTCCTTGAGGATATGTGTATATATAGATATAGTAAATGCAAATATTTCAATATTTCTTGCTTTCGGGGTAAAATCGATTCGGCTTATTTGTATTTTGCGGCAATGTTGAATTTACAATTGTTGTTGTTGTTATTTGGTAAGGTATGATTTGGCATTCATGTTGTTGTTAGTTCAACATGTGATTGTTGTTGTTGTTGTTCCTTGGTAAGAATCAATTTGTAAATCTTGTTGTTGTTGTTATTAATTCTATATGTGGTTTTTGCTGTTTTTGTTATTTGTTAAAGCTCGTTTTGCTATTGTTGTTGTTCGGCGAAGTTCAACTCATTATTGTTGTTGTTTTTGTCTTTGTTGTTGCGGCAATCTCTGTCAGTGCAAATTGTTTATTTATGGTGTAAATTTTTTCCAACTTAATTTTGGGTCAATAGTTCGGTTTGCAGTTTTGGAAAATTTTTTGGATTTTTTTCCCCCTTTTTCCCTCATTTTTTATTTATATAATTTTTGGCCGCTTGGCTTTCAAGCAAAAATTTGTAAGCGTGTATTAACTACAGTTATTTCTTTACACTACTTTCTGCATTAGACCGTTGCTTAGAAAGTCGCTTGCGCTATTGGAGGCAAATGCCGGCAAGCGCCCTTCAAATACAATATGATTGTTGTTGTCACAGTCGAAATGCTTCGCAATGCATTTTATGTGAAACCAAAGCAACATTTTGTGGATATTGAGCGGGCAAGCGAATATTTGTTATGTAGACATATGTATAAATATTAAAAAAGATAAAAAATTCCACGAAACGAAGTACAAGAAGTGAATTCGAAGCAAAGCAGCTTTAATTTTAATTTTTTTTTTTCAGAAAAAAAAATGTTTTTTTTTGTTTTTTAATTAAACAGCGGGTGTTTACTCTCGCAAAAAACACTCGTAAGAAAATATTCAAAATCCCAAATTAATTTTTTGATTTTTATTAGCGCAAATTGCTTGCGCCGCGGCTGCTAATGCATTTGGCGCTGTGAAATATTATGCCACCCCACCGCGTGCGGTTAGACCTGTTCCGTTATTGCCTCGCCGACAACCCAGCCCAGCTAGCGAAATAGCGGCTGTCAAACGAGCAGTCGCCGCAAATCCGACATTTCGACCAATCGATCGCTTGACTTTTCGACAATACACCTGCTGGCATGTCCAACCGTTTGTCGGTTTCGCTCGGTGACAGCGCGAATGCAGTGAGTAATGCGGTATGCTAATTAAAAACTGAAATTTCGTTGAAATTTGATGCCAGCAGCGACAGCGCCCTGTTGTAGTTGTTGAAATTTGAATATAATATTTTGATAAAGTTGTTCAAAATACTGTTGTTGCTATTGCTGTTATGCAAAAGGCACTGAAAAACAATGATTTTTATAATAAATATGTGTAGCTCATCGTCTACACGTTTTTTGATTTGGCCATGGTCGGCGGGATGGAATTATTTTTAGGACGCCGGCAAAGCAAGATTGCGCAATAAATATAACTTATGTATGTACATATGTACAAATATACACGTGTGCAAAAAAATGTGCAAAGTATTGTAAAAAGTATGGGAAAGTGGCTGGCAGCGAGCTGGCGTTAGTAGCGAGGGTGGCTTAGGGTGGTGCTAAAGTTGTAAGTTGTGCTTAAAGGAAAATATTAAAGAGTTCAAATTATTACTCTGTTGTGTAAGGGAATATGTAAAAATAAAATATTGAAACAAAATTTTTGACAATTCGAGAAAATCATCAAAAATGTCAATAGAATTTTATTTAAAAACCAACTTTTTTGATTGTTTAGGATAGTCGAGAGGGTTAAATTAACAAATATTTTTTCCCATAAAAATGTCTATGTAAACGCAAAAAAAAAAAAAAAAAATGCAAAACTAGAGATTCTACGCTTTAATCAAAAGCTCATTTATGCGTAAAAGGCCCTTTAAAAATATTAGTACTGCTTTTGAATCGATTTTCAATTGCTTTGATTATTTTTCGCATATCTCAAAAGCTTTAGAGGAAGGGTCATACGTGGGAGCTGCTCTAAAAATGTTAAAAGTAGTTTTTCTGCACAGTTTTCTAATGAATTTAATTTTAATTTAATAATTTTTATATTGAAAGCTTTGGCTGAAAGCTCAATTATTTGTAAAAGTTCAGCATAAGATATTAAAAATGCTTTTCATGAAGAGTGTTATAGTAAATTTCATTTCAATTTATTGTACTATTCTTTATAGAGCTCAAGTCAAGATACTAAAAATGTGTTTCTTGAACAGTTTGATAATAAAATTTATCTCAGTTTATTGTTATTTATATTAAAAATTGCTGTACAAAGTTCAGTTATGTATGAAAGCTCTTTTAAAATGTTAAAACACTTTTTTTCAAAGCTCAGTTAAGCATGAAAGCTCTTTTGAAAGCTTTAAGGCTACTTTTATTGAAAAGGTTGTCAATAAATTTCATGTAATTAAATATTCCACTTACTGACAATTTTATTCGAAAGCTTAACTAAGCATGAAAGCTTTCTGATTTGCGTAAGGCTTTTTTCTTATCAACGTTTGATGGGAAGCTTTTTATGAAAGCTCTTTTTTATGTGAAAGTTTCACTTCGAATGAAAGTTTTTTTAGATGAAAGCTTGTTAAGGGTAGTGATGCGACTATTATGTTTTGTGTGAAAACACCCTTTTATGAGAAAGCTTTTTTTTATGTGAAAGCTCTATTTTATGTGAAAACCCTGCTAAGGTTACAAAATACCTAAACATTTTTATTTCAAGTAAAATAATAGTAAATCACACTCTTTAATAACAAGAGGGTCACCCTAACCCTAAAATCCCAAATTCTAAAAAACATATCTAAACCTAATCGTATCAAATTTAGCATTATGCTGTTAACAGCTATTCTGATAGTGAGCA